ATCTCTGAATTTGTCATACTCGCAAAGCCTCTCGACTTGCCTGGTGTAATTGCGTCTTTGCTTATCGTTCTCACCACACCAAATTTTTCCATGGTTCCAGTCTCTCTTTCGACGTATGCCTCATTCTCCTGGGTCGAACAATTGAGGCTGACTTGAGATCCAAAATCCAGTTGCTCGTCTTCGTCCTCTTCTTCCTCCTGGGATTCACCTTCAAATCCTGTGCCCACTCCAATGGTGAATGGAAAGATGTTTCCGAAAGTGTTCTTCATTCTTTCTGAGAAGGATGAGGACGTCGTTTGTTTCTCAGTCCCGCCTGCCATCATGGTGTTGTCTGTTGGAGATCTTCTAGTTGCCACTAATTCAGTAGAGATGTCGGACAGTTCCGACATCTCCTCTCGGTCCAGTGTCCCGGTGGAAGTGGCAAAATCTTGGCCTTGTTCTACCGGAGTAGATTCACTCGCCAGCCTTCTGCCTCTCCCCTCCGGTCCATGTATTTCCTGGTTCTAATTCATGGCCTGGTCCGTATGGACCTCCACTTCTAGCATAGCTTTGCGCTCTTCTGAGGACTTCTGACTCCTAGTTTCAACCATTCTGCCTGAAACCGTCTCCCCTTTGTCGGTCCGGGCTCGTGTGATCCGTTCCACAAAAGGGTCGGTCATTGCTCTTCTTTGCTTTTTAGGTATGAATTTCCTAGAGCTATTACCTCGTTTGGGTATCCTTGACTTGTCTAGACTCATTTCCAATCTATCCCTTCTTAATGCCTATACACTCAATTCGATTTCTAAAGACCTTCTAGTTTGACTATTGATAATAATAACACAACACAATAAATTTCACAAGATTCTATTAAATAGTGACCACGAATCCCTGTATGTTATCAGAGTACAGCTTGTATATAATTTATTCGCACTAACCGATTATCGGTCGTAAGATTTGAGAACAAGCACAATATGATGATATCAGTCAATTTAAAAGATAGTGTACTCACTACCCAATCAAGCGCAAATTATGTTGATTTAAAATCAAAAAATAACAGAATAAGAACATTTCTGTGAAAAACGTATGTGTATTGTACTTTTAGTCAGTCGCAGTACATTAGTCTGTCTTGTATTTTAAAGAAAAAGCTTTCCCTGCTTGGTGCTGCACCAAACAGACAAAATTTTGAAGGCAGTAATTTTCTCAATTGGGCGTCTATTGCACCCACCGAGTACTGTGTTACCTATCTGCCTTCGCACTGTCCGAACTAGACCTACTAAAATCCTCAGGGCAGTCACTTTTCGCAAAAACGTATGGGGTTTCAATCCACACCAATGAGTTACACTTTTTTTTAATTTAGACTTAGTGTCAGGAATATCCGAGTTCGGACCTGTTCTGTTTTGGTCTGGTCTTTATTGAAAGGCAAGTTACCAGTGCAGTCACTGATTCCTAGCCTGTCTGTTAATAACCTAATAACTCTCACTATAATCTTTTCTTCTGTTTACCTAAGTCCTTTAATAAAATAATAACCCTCCGTGTTGACAAAAAACAGTACCCCTCCGGATTGGCAAAAATAGGACCCTTCCGGATTGCCAAAATTGAGACCCCTCCTGATTGGGACCCCTCTGAGTTAGCAAATATAAGACCCCTTCGGATTGGGACCCCTCCGGTTTTGTGAAAACAAGTCCCCTCCGGATTGGGACCCCTCCGAATTTGAAAAAAAATTGGACCCCTGCGGATTGGGAGCCCTCTGGTTTTGTAAAAGTAGCTTTTCGGAGATTTCCTTGATTTTCAACCTATACCCCTCCGGATACGTTCTCCGATGCTATTATGCTGTTTGAATTAACTAGGAAGGGTATGTGATCCTTTCCTAGACCCTTCCGGATTGAAGTTAAGCCTCTTATTTGACAGTTCACGCTAACGGTGAAGGGTCTTATCGCTTGCCTAACTTCGGCTCGATTAAGGTTTTCTTGTGCCTTTAGCCTTCCCTTTTCGTCCAGAACAGCCTAAAGTTACTTTATTCAACCGCTATCACCTTTTGGTAGGGGTGTACGGGCTTTCCAAAAAAAAATTTTAAAACGTGAAGGGTCTATCCTCCCAAATTGGTGAATTTGCCAAAAACAATCTCAAAAAATTTTCACGCTTACTTTTTCGAAAAATTCTTGTTCCTACTAATAAGCTCAAATAATTTCTGATCTAATGGTAACAAGATCAACTGGATCAGTCCAGTCGTTCAAAAGTTATTAACCAAAACGCCTTTCTTCCAAACTCAAAAATTTTCTCTCTTATAGGTTCCGCCTAACTTTTTTTGCAATTCCGTTCTTTTCGACCTAAAAATTTTTGATCCGAGCTTAAAAGGCCATTACTTTTCTAGTTCAATGCAAAAAACCCGATCTAAAACGCTTTAGTTGAAAAAATTTGCGAAAAACTATGCTACCTGGACCCCTCCGGATTGATGAATCCACTGAATCAAACACGTTAAGTTCGATTTCTCTGTAACCCGGAAGGTTTTCGGGAAGCGGTTTTTAGAACCTATAGATTCACTAGTAGAAGTTGTCCGAACAACTATTTTTACTGTCCTAACTCAAAAATTTCAAAAAATTTTCTGATTTTATAGTGTTCCGTTTTCTCAAAAATCACGAAAATTCGGTTTTTGGTACCAAAATAGTTCCAACCACTTCCGAACTAAACTTAACTGGTTCTATCTACTATAGTAGTGCAATTACGATGTAACGCACTAATTTAGCGCTTTTTTCCGTTTCAAAAAATATCGATATGTCAAAAATCGCGATTTGTGGGACGATCAAAATATCGCTATTTTGACCCTAAAAACCGGTCAATTTTCTTTGTTTTTTTACTGAAAAACGATATAGGACTATTATTATGGGCTATATAAGTAATAATATTGGTAAAACTATACCGCTCCGGGTTTGTTCAATATCCGAATTAAGGTGCCTAACTCAGATATGCGCAGTTCGGTGAAGGGTCACTACAGTGCAGCACTGTCGAGCCCCCCACAGATTACTATCTTAATTTTTGTACCAAAAGGGATACAAAACTTGTTAACGATACCCAACAGTGGATTGTTGTTGTCGTTGTCTCTAATGCCGATTCTAAGTTTTTCCGTTGTTATCGTCGCCGCTTCTTGTTGCTCCTTGTACTGCTTGCCGGATCAGTCTTCTCCCAAGACCCCTCCGGATTGAGCGCAAATCAGCAGACCCTTCCGGATTGAGCGCAAATAAGCATTAACGTGCTTAAATACTCAAATAACCCTACAGTACAAGCCTCACAAATGTTCTACAAAAATGATCGTAACAATCCTGACTGATATAAATGCCTGTAACAACAATATATCTATCAACAACAAACGGGAGGGTCGGACCGCATCTTGTCTGGGGGATATGATTTCTACTGATTTTTTACTTTTTTTACTCTTTTTGGTTTTTTCGGTTATTTTTGATGTTTGTTTTTGTTTTTCTTGGGTACTATACTCTTATTTGTTTGGTTTTATTTATATCTTTAAGTGTTTTTGGTCACAAACCTCTCAGGGAACGAGGTGATGACCGATCACCCCACCCTTCCTGGTTCGTGAATTTTCGGTCGTAACTAGGTTAAAAAGCTATTCACGGTAATCCGGAAGGCTTCCGCGTTCCGAACTACCCTTCCGCCCCGGCGGTTTTGGCCTATTAAGGGCGTTAATGTGAGCATCTGCTCGGCGCGGAGTGCTCGTTAACGGTTCTGCCGGTCATGATGTTGAAAAAAATAACACCCAGGAGCGCCATAAAAACATCTATGTAACATTCGCCGGGAAGATACATATCGACGGAAAGTAATGCTAGGTCCTAAGACGACAGGCCAACGTCTAAACAGAGCTTTACATGTTTTTCACCGTCTCTACCAAAGCCAGTTCTTTTGGTGGTCTTTCTAACATCGGGTCGACAAAAACGTTATTGTTCTCCGGCTTCGACCAGAACGCTCAAATTAACTTAATTACATGCAAAATCAGTGAGCTCATGGCTGGGTCTCAGTATCCCCAGACCACGAGATCACTCCTAAAATCAGGGCTACTACTACTTCTTGAATTATTATTGTTTTTGTTCAGTAGATAAAAATCATCATCTCCATCATCATCTCCACCCTTTCCCCCAACTCCTAGCTTCTCATCCTAGCAAAATGGATTCAAATGTTAATCAAATTCAATTCAGGACATAATAGGGAAGCTAAAATTTATGTAAAATGCTATAAGTTTCAGTCCCGAGGCCCCTCCGGATTCTTGAATCCGGGGAAATAAGACAACTATTTTCTTCCGGAAGGCTGTCTTCTACCTTTCACCGTTGTTCGCAACGGCCTTGCAACAATTGTAGCGACACAATAGTTGCAACTCGGAACGGTTTCTGCTATTTCTGCTCGTCTCTAATTCCGATTCTAAGTTTTTCCGTTGTTATATTCGCCGCAACTGTTGTTGTTGTGTTATAATTCGGTTTTTCTGCCAAAATGGCCGTTTCTGACGTTTCTCAGAAATATGACGTCATACTTCGAAAATTTAAAAATTTGAAACACCAGAATATTCTAGCCTTCACAGTTTGGCTAATCGTTCCAATAACACTGCTAATCCTTCAAAACTGCTAATTCGGAAGGTTAGCTGCTAAAATTTCGAATCTGCATTTTCGTCCATTCTGGTCGAATTTCACATTTTCGGACCAATAACTTTGTCTTCAATTACATTTAAATTTTTTCACGATATTTTTCGATAGGTTGCCATAGAGAGGTTGCAGTTGTATATGACATTGCAAGATTTTTTTGATCGGGTGAAATGATGAAGGACGAGTGTAGTAAATTCCGCTACCATGATGGATTTTGTCTTCTGATTGACTCCAAAAAAAAATAAAGAAGAGGATAATAGGCAATATGTTTTTTAATATTTAAGTTTTTTACCTTTCTTTAAACTCTTTTATCTGTATCCCTCTCTCTCTTTCTCGAAACATTTTAAATTGAATATAGCGATTGATGGGAAATATTAAAAATAATTTTTAGAGTATGATGTGCGATTTGATGAATGAAGCAGACATTGTATCTGTGAATACCTCAAAGGCCAAAAAGTTTACTGTACCGAATATATCAGCTAACTGTTCAATTCCAGAGGAAGTTACAGACGATTCTTTCTTGTTGAACGAAATCAAGAAATTACCGAGCAACTACAATTTTGAAATTCCGAAAACAATATGGCGAATAAAAGAACTGAAAGTCAAAACTGTCGCATTGCAAATGCCTGAAGGTCTTACTTTATTTGCGTGCACCATAGCTGATATAATCGAAATCATGACTGGTTGTAATGTAATAGTAATGGGCGACGTCACATATGGCGCTTGCTGTATTGATGATTTTACTGCTAGAGCTCTTGGCGTAGAGTTGATGGTTCATTACGGACACAGCTGCCTGGTACCGGTGAACGAAACTCCGGGTATCAAGTTGCTGTATATTTTCGTTGATATTCAGGTTGATCTTGCTCATTTTTTGGACTCTGTCATATACAATTTTCAACAGGGTTCAAAGATAGCGCTGGTTAGTACAATTCAGTTTGTCTCAGCAGTTCAGACATCAAGCAGAGAACTTAACAGTAAAGGTCTATGCGTCTTCAACCCCCAGAGCAGACCTCTTTCTCCAGGTTAATTATTAAGAGTAATAGAGGTAATGAGTTTTCTATTATAAGTCTAGGTGATTTTTTTAAATATTTTTTTTTCAGGAAAAAGTCCAAAAATTTGTTGACTCTCAATTTTGATTTTTCGCGGGTTGACTTTTGATTTCTTTTTCAGTTCACTTCCTTTCTTTTGTTGCATTAATTGAGCAATCTCCCCTCCCCCCATTCTCGCGCGGGGGGAGATAGCGCAATAGCTACTTGAGTCATGTTTATAACCACTTCAAAATTGTTTGAATTATATGAAATCATAAATCAGACTCTTCAACGATAGTGGAATGCCACAATTTACAATATCAAAGCTCAGAAATTACATTCAGAGCTAAAAAGATCAATAAAACTGAGGCGACTTTAGTCACATAAAGCTCCTATTTTCTTTCCGAAATAAAAAAAAGCAATTTTAATTAGCCGCTGAGAACAGTTCCAAATATCCAGATACAAGGCTAGAGCACCAACCCTGGTAAGTCGCTTTGCTCGAAGAAGCAATGGTAGCCCAAACAAAAATGTGCAAAAAAATTGAAATAAATTTCGATTTTCTTCTTTTTCGAAATTTTTCTCGATACTCATAAAATAAACTTCAGTCGGTCATTGAATTGCGTGTTACGAACACATTAACCATCTACTTGCGTTTGCTGACGTCATTTTGTAGCGTTTTACCGTTTTTACTAGGGGGAAGATAGCTCAATTGGTCATTACGGGGGGAGATTGCTCAATTGATCCCTTTTGTTATAAGCAAGGCAAACTCCACTATCGAATAGCAAAAATGTAAAGGCCACGAAAAACGTGATCGACTTCTAGTTTCGAAAAACGAAATAATTATCAGATTTTCCAGCGAAATAAGAGTTTTACCTATTGATCCAGTTTTCTCAAATAGGGTTAATTTTAACAACGAAGTGTCCATCATCAATTGTTCTTCAAATTCAAAGAGCTTATAGGCCATCTCATTTTTTCTTCGAAATTCAAAAGTTGAAGGTTTTTCGAAAAACAAGTCAATTTTTTCAGTTTTTTTGCTCTTACTTTTTTTTCAACTGTCAGTTGGCTATGTTTACCTGGTTATTTTCGACACAAAAACTCTTCTCATACCGATTTCCTTTTGTAGGTGAAATCTTGGGCTGTACTTCTCCTCGGTTACCGAAGGATACAGATGCTATAATATATCTGGGCGACGGGAGATTTCACATTGAGAGTATCATGATTGCTAATCCTGTAATCAAAGCTTTCAAGTACGACCCATATAGCAAGAAATTCACCTGCGAAACGTACGACTTCCAACGTATGTGTTCAATCAGAACGGAGTCGATCAACACTGCCAAATCGGCGAAATGCTTTGGGCTGATTTTGGGTACTCTAGGACGTCAGGGATCAACAGGTAAATATTTTTGGTCTCTTCAATAGTTGAAAAGTTTAATTTTGCGCTCATACTTTTTAAGCGCAATTGTTTTTTTTCGGCATGATATGCTGCTATCGAGATGAATATTTGTCCTACTACTTAGCAGCGTAATTGAATGGTGGTCATCTGTTAAAGTTTTTGTAAAGTGTGTGCTAGAACATCAAATTTTTGAAGTATCTCGCTGAAAAAATAATGATTCGTTTCGATCCTTGAAGGGTGCGAAGGAGTTTTGTATTTGGCTGTTTTTACGCAAAATTAGGCACCATCAGGTAAATGTTCCAGAATGAAATAAACTTGAAAATTTTTCATTTGATAGATACATAATTAAGAGTCGATGAACGCAGATCGACTTTAAGTTTCAAAATTGTATTTAATTATCAGGTTTCCCAGCGAAATAAAAATTTTACCTCTTGAGCCAGTTTTCTCAAATTTGGTTTATTTAATCAAAAAAGTGCTAATAATAAAGTGTTCTTGAAAGAGCTCAAAGGGAATCTGTTTTTCTTCGAAATTTAAAAGTTGAATTTTCTTAACAAAAGTCGTATTTTTCTGTTATCTTGTGTTCATTGGCTCGTTTCTTTCTGTTGGCCATGTTTTCAAGTTTTACTTACGAGAGCAAATGTTTTTCTAATCGCGAACCAGACTTGGGGTTCCAACCCCAGCTGGAGAATTGTAGGGCTGTAATTTGTCTGCTTGTTTTTTGTCGGGTTACTCTGGAAGCATGGATTTTTGAAGGAGTAAGTTTTCACCAGTTCAGAGAGCCTGCCTTATTGTTCCGACCATTGAAAATGGGGAGGAACTTTCTGTTCGGGTGTGTTTTAGGTTTTTTATTTCCCACGCAAAATCAGGTACCACAAATAATGGTTGGACTGGGTTGAGTGATGTATCATATTAAAGCCCTTACAGTCGTGATTCGAACCACATTAAAAATGCCCAAAATTTTCTCTAGTGTCGAGAAAAACCGGTATAAAATTTTTGATTTTTCGTTTTATTTCGAGCGAATAAAGCAAGCGAGCAGGCTTACAATGACTGAATTATGTCTAATTTGAGACCTTAAATTTTAATTTTAAGCAAGTAAAACAAGTTTTTTTTTCAAAAAAAAAATTTCAATTTTTCTTGTCATTTTTCTACATTAATTTTTGTCCAATTTGCCTATTTATTATGAAAGTTCATACTGTTGAACATTTCATACAAATGCAATTCAAAATCACTGGGTATGTTATTACGGTATCGTTTGAAAAATATTGTTCTTACAATTCGTTTTTGCATAAACCTGATTCAGACTAGTTTCGTTTGATCAACCGTATTTTAAAACACCATGATGAATGATTGGTTATTGAAACTATTGTAGTAATTAAACAGATGCTTACCATGAAACACGTATGTGATTCTATATAAATGACATCAATATTTCGATAGTTTGGTAGAAAGAAACATAATTAATTTGGGGATCAAAAGTCAGTTTTTCATCAATCAATATTCTCAAATACTTTATAACCGAAACCTATTATCATTTTTTGTTGTCTAACACAATTGAATCTGCTGTTGCAGTTTTTGACTTAAAATATCTCGTAATTTTTGTTTTGTCCTTATTTAGGGTGAGATGATTTGACTTCATCCGGTCGCTGACTTGAGAAACACCCAGAAAAAGTTTATCATTCTTTTCTACAATGGCAGTATCAGCTGCAAAAAATTTTTTTTTTGAATTTTGACTATGAGAGGGTAAATCATTGATATAAACGAGGACACCCATGAGTAACTGATATCCATTTCGAAGCGAAGTTAAATAGCTCTTCATTAAATCAAGAGGTAATCCGAGCACTCCATAACGTTCCAATTTCAAAATAAGTACCGGTAGTTGATGTATCAAACGCTTTCTTAAGGTCAATAATTCAACAGATAGCTTTAACGAATAAGACTTGAAGTTTATTTACCAAAAGAGCTACCGCGTCAGTTGTAGAAAACCTTTACGAAAGCCAAACTGACACTCAATGAAGAGCTGATCAAAGAAATGGGCCTATAATTAATACAGTTGTTAAATTCGTTAAGCTTTGTTGGTTGTCGTTGCTTACGTCGTTACTATTTGGCATCAAGGTTTCAAAGCTTGTTAAAAAGGTTTCCTAATTTTGTTTTGGCGCGCTGTAGAAACAAATTATATTCATTATTTATTTTTTATTCAGTTTTAATTTCATGACTACTTCCTCCAGGTCAGTATTACATTGAAAATTACTGAAACTCAATATTGCAGACATATGTCACAACCTCACCGCCTCTAGATTCTCTGTCCTTAACAACGGGAGGTCATTAGTTATCGAGACAAAAATAATGTATTGTCACTTTCGCAAAGCCAAGTCTCACCTAATGCAATTATAGAGGGTAAAACCTTCAAAGTACTGATATAAGTTTGCAGTTCTAGGTAGTGCCACCTTAAAGATCTCATATTCAAGAATAGCAGCTGGCATGGGTCTCTCCCACTCATTGATTTTACCCTTTCACTCATTTAGAGCACTTGCTGGAGTAGAATTAAGATTTTTTGTCTTCTTGAACTCAACATAACTCAGTTTCTAGCAGCTGTGATGTTTCTTCGTCGTTTGCTTCCCTCAGAAGTTTGATAAAATCTCGGTTGCCATCGTTCAATACGTTTCCTTCATTGTGACCAACTTTGAATAAGGACACTGACTTTTTCTTTCTCGTAATCGCTCTGGACTGTAGATCATCGAGAGCTCTTTGATTACGCACGTGAATCGCAGTTCGAGAGCCATCCTCATATATACGTTCAGAGTAAATAAATTTAACAATACCGGTAGAGGGAAGTCTGTTGCCCTTGCCGCGGTAACAATTGTGTACTAAAATTTTTGCAGGAAGACCTCGCATATATTTCTGAGGTTATCAAGGTTCAGTTCCGCATTTTCAATAATAATGCAGTCTTTTGAACTATATCATTCCTGTTCTGATATCCGCAGTTCTTGGTATGTTTCTTAACTCTTCAGTATCAAAACCGCCTCACTTTGTTTCTTGATTCTTTCGTTTTTTTCCGATATCTTCAAAAATAAGTTTCAGAATATCCTTCACCGATTGGTCAGCTGGAACAAATCATTGATCTTAATTTCCGCCATCTGAAACTCTTTAAAACGTTTATCACAACAATTAGGCTAAATTTTTATCCAAAAAGGTTTATCACAATATTTAGTTTATCACTACAATTGAGACAAAACATTCATGGAAGCAACTTTGGGCAATTACTTTCGGAAAGTACTGAAAAAAATTTAGAAAATTTGCTTGAAGCTCCGACTAGGATGCTATCTGAACACAGATGTCCGATAAATATGCAACGCTATCTCTGCTCCATCTGTATGCTGTCGATAACCAAGATGAAAGTATGAGCCCGATTAAACAGCATTTTGAGCACGATGTAATTGCTAGATTTTAATTGTGTTTCTTCCAAAATAATGCATATTCAATGTTTCTTGGTAATTGGCTATGTATAAATATTTTATCAAATACAAAAATAAATGGTCGAAACGTTTTGCACACAGCATTTGGGAATTGCTGCTGTGCATTTTCACTCCGCGTACATATGTAAAGTTATTTTTTGCACCAATCTTTGGAAGCCAAAGATTTTTTGCCAGATGGTATTTAACCTTTATTGATCGTATCAAAGTGTACTACCAATTCGGTGGTGTATTAATGGAACTTGTTTTTTTAGCCGTGGTGACCAGGCTGAAAAATTTGATATTATCGCATGGCAGAGAATGCATAGTTACTTTCATGTCAGAAATCACTGACATCAAATTAGCTCAGTTTTCGAACGTCGACTGCTGGGTCCAGGTCGCATGTCCGAGACTGTCAATTGATTGGGGAAGTTTCTTCGAGAAGCCGCTGCTGACACCTGCTGAATTGCACATGGCATTGAAGTCCGAAGACAAAATTGAAACCCTAGATGACTATCCGATGGATTTTTATGCTAGAAACTCGGCAGGACCCTGGACGCCTAACAATCCTGAATTAAAAGAACTGAAAACTAAAATTTCCACTATTGAAAAAGAGTTTATTTCAAAATGTTCTAATTTAAATACACATTGTGATTGCTCTTGAGAATATAGTTAAATTTATTGAAAATTGAATCTGAATATTTGATTTATTGCCAAATGAAAACACAGGGTTAAATATTGCAGTGGTGATGATGATTAGTTGGTGAATTCCAGGTCAGTTTACATTTTTTACAAGTTACAAGAAATTGATGGAACCGACAAGGTTCTCCATAGAGGTTATAACATAATTCAGAGTTTTCGTTCTGATCATTTGAAAAATAGTGAGGAACTTTGTATTCGGGTGTTTTTTAGTTTTTTGATGGAACACCCGAAAACAAAGTTCCTCATCATTTTTCAAATGGTCGGAACGAAAACTCTGAATTATGTTATGAGCTCAATGGAGAACCTTGTCGGTTGCATCAAAATGAAAACACGGTTTGATGTAAAAAAAAAAGTGGTTAAATTTTGCAGTGTTGATGATGATTAGTTGGTGAATTCCAGGTCAGCTTACACCTTTTATAAATGGCAAGAAATTGATGGAGCCGACAAGGTTCTCCATGGAGCTTATAACATATATCAGAGTTTTCGTTCCGACCATTTGAAAGGTGTAAGCTGACCTGGAATTCAGCAGTAAAAACTTATTTTTACTCGAGTTTTTTTTATTATTTCAGAGCCTTTTTGGAATCAAAAACTACAAAAGTTCGTAAAACTGCAAAAAAAGCGAAACGTTTTTATTTTTTTTCTAATCATTTTTCAAAAATTGTTTACCAATTTGCGCATTTTACTGTGACTGTCGAATATACCTAAGCTGTAGTTTTTCGTTCAGATCCTTTGGTCAAACCACGCCGAAAAAAAATAATTTGAAAAAAAACTTTGTTTTATTTTATAAGGTTATAGTCGGAAAATTGTGCTACTTCCATAGTAACGGTCCGACCACCTTGTTCTATTTTTGTTTTTTTATTTACTATTTCCAGTTTTTTTTAAATTGCTTTTTGTGTTGGCATTATTTTCCGCCGAAAAAGAGCCAATATTATCCCTAATTTGCAAAGGATTCGTTACTAGATACAAAATTCACATATGCTCAACCGTTGAATAAGTTCATTTAGGGGTGATATTAAGGGGAACTTAGTTAAGATATCCGCAAATTTCTGTTCGATAAAAACAGATACTATGATATTGTATGGGTTTCGTTTTTTATATAGTATTAAAAACAAAACCCATCCAATATCAAACTACCTGTGTGCCTGCATAATCCCCTAGTTATTTTTACCGTAACCAACTGTCTACAGCTGCTCTGCACATGCGGCTACCTCCAAATTTTTTCCGCGCGAAAAGTTGAGTCTTAGAAAAATCAAAATATTGATTTTTTGACCGAGTTTTCAAACTTTTTGACTTCTCGAAAACTATTCGCCCAAATCTGAAACTTGGCTTCAATGCATAGAGAACGGCTTGTGTGAATCTCCTCTGCATGAACGGCTAAGTTCAATTTTTTTCAACATTTACACAAATTGTTATGACTCTCGAAGAAGCCAAATTTTCTATTTTTGACCATTTGTTTTGAAATTTTATGATACGTCTCGAGAACACACTGGATTGTGTGAAGATACCTTACATAAAAAGCTGCACCTAACTTTTTTTACACTTAGTCATCAGCCTCGTAAAAAGTCATGAACGTTTTTTTTGAAACTCTCTTAGTTTTCTCAAAAAAGTTCCCAAATCTGAAAATTTAGATTCAATCGAGAAAATGGATTGTGTGAAGATGCCTTACATAAAAGCTGCACCTAATTTTTTTTTACACGTAGTCATCGACCTCGTAAAAAGTCATGAACGTTTTTTGACACTTTCTTAGTTTTCTCAAAAAAGCTCCCAATCTGAGATTTTGGATTCAATGGGGAGAACGGGTTTTGTTAAACTTCACTGCACTAGTGGCCTTGCTCAAACTTTTTTGTACCAAAAAAGTTATCGTCCACGAAAAGGTCATATTTGTGAATTTTTTAAAACTGATTTATCTCGGAAACTACCCTCCCAAAGCTGAGATTTTGAGTTCAATCGAAGCGGCTGCGCTCAATTCTTTCCCTCAATAAGTAATGATCCTAAGAAAAATCATATATTTGATTTATTGATCGTTCTTTTCTCGAAAACGTACCATTCAAAATCTGGTTGTTGGATTCAATCGAAAGAACAGGTTGAGGAAGCTCCCCTATATCAGCGGCTATTCCCATTTTTTTACATGAAAGTTATGGCCCTCGGAAAAAAAAAACAAATTTCAAAGCTTAAAGAGTGATTCTGCAGCTCTAAAAGTAGGCTTTCACTCACTGCAAAATCCTAAAAGATCTAAGATAGGATTTTGGAATAAGCTTGCGCAACTGTCAGAAATTCACTCTCGTTTCAACTCCTTCAAGTGAACGTTATTAAAAAATTGTCGACTCGTCAATAATTGTGTCAAATATTCGGCTTTGTAATGAACAGCAATAGCTTTTCTTCATTCACTCTCTCTATCAGACCATTTCAAATTCTCGCTCCAGCAGATTGCAAACTAAAATCAAAGGAGACCGAAATTACTTTTAGGTTTTTAAAGCGCAAAATTCAGAAAGGATGTTAAAAATAAATCGGCAATAATCTAGGCTAATGAAAGGTCTTATGGCTTTATGTGCTTCACGAAATTGGTTTTTTAATCTCACCGCAAACGCTAAAAAGGGAGGAGTCTCTTTTATATACAAAATACTCCATATGTAAATCTCAGCCATTTTCTTGGAAATTTCCTTTTTGGGCAATTATGTTTTGAGGTTTGAGGTTTTTGAGAAATATAGCCTTTGCTCGCGGCGTATTGTTTCCTGTTGTGTTTATCAGTTACCGAAAACGAAGTAAAAAAAATTGGAGCCAGAAAACATGGGTGTTTTTTAAGAGTCATGAAAGTAGCGAATAATCTTATATAGGTATTGGTAATTTTGGTCGTATATATTTGGTCCCAGCAAAATGAAAAATTTACTTATTAATCCAATTTTCTCCAAATGGCTCAAGTTCATCAAAAATGTCAATCATAAATTTTTCTTGAAGTTCAAAGAGACTTATGGCCATATATTTTAAAATGAAATTCGAAGTTATGAAACCGATGTTATGAATCCTTCCTGCAGAAACGGCTGTCCGAATTTTTTTCGAAGTTCTTGTGAAAATTATGACCATTGTTTAGAAGTTTTTTTTTTTTTCTCAAAAACTACCCTGCCAAATCTAAGGTTAAGGGCTTCATCGGAAGAACAGGTTTCGTGAAATTTCTCGGCACAAGAAGTATCACCCTAAAGAGTTATAGCTTAAAGAAATTTCCAAATTACTGAAAATTTGCCTTTTTCTAAATGTTTTTTTTTTGTAGAAAAGCGATGCTGGACTGAGGAAAAGTCCATTTTTAGAAATTTTGTTCGTTGTTGGAAGTTCGTTGATTGTTTCTAAAACTACGGTTCATTAAGGGTTCAATCGAATGATCAATTTGTAGGATAATTCCTTTCATTAGCCGGTGGATAATTCCTTTCGAAGCGGAGGATAATTTGTAGGATAATTCCTTTCGAAAACTACGGTTGATCAAAGGTTCAATCGAATGATCATATTGTAGGATAATTCCTTTCAGCTTTTTTCTAATTTTAGTGAAGAAATTGCGAAGAATTTAAGAATGATTTGACTTCTTGACCCATTTGTGGACTTCTTTCGATTTCCCAAGAACGTGCGAATTGTGAAATTGAGAAAGCGTTTTTTTTCTCGACCAAAGCGTTTTTCTACTTTTTTAAAAGGTAGGAATCAACTATGGACTTGGTAAACGTCCAGTTTGCAACATTTCATAAATGACGCATTATCTTTTGCATCAGTACATTTTTACTAGTCATCAAACAGGTGCCTCCAGTTTTAGCTAGGCCCTCACTGTTCAAGTGTTCTTAAGGGGCCATGGCGCAGATGCTAGGCCGTTTGCTTCTAAATCTCGTGGTTGGGTTTGAATACGTTATATAGCATATTTTTTATTAGTTTCATTTTTTCACTTTTTGATCCAGTTTTTGCCATTTTTTGCTTGCGTTCTCATGAACTAAAAATTTTCATGAACTAAAATTAATTTAAAATCATACTTTATTGAACAAATAATTTCACACAAAAGCCAAAATTTCGAGAGAAAATAAGGTTCAATTTTTGCGCAATTACCATTGAAGCTTTACTCAATAATCAGTTGTTTCATTGGTGTCGTCTCATTGTCGATAAGTTTTCTGATAAGCATTTGTTGTTTTTCCATGCTCTCCATTAACACAAACGAAAGTCGTGATTGAAAATGTCGCGTTCTAATAAGAACTAACATAAAAGCGCGTTATTGTTATGAAACTAACAAAAAGCGCATTATCATTTTTTTGTCAATCAATGCACATGATTGAAAGCATTTGTCAAATCTCATGGCTTTAAATTTTTAATCCGTTTTTTGAAGAAAGTGACGGAATATTTATGCTCGGGGGTATTTTTTTCTCCAGACAAGTTTCGACTTTCTTAGAAAGCGTTACAAATTGGTTAAAGCAGGCTATTTGTCATAATTGCTGTGCTAAAGGAGCGAAATCTATCTATTTGTATTTCATTTTGGCGTGTGGGGAATTATTCAAAAAAAACTCAAAACATCTTTCATATTTTTTTTGTGAAAGATCATCAATTTTTTGAGCGAACTTTGCTGCATTAAGCCTTAAAAGGCAGTAGGAATCTTCTGGTCTTTGCGCTAAAACGAGCAGTCTTGATACTTTTTTTGTTATTTCAAAGTGGCGTTGTTATTTCAAAATTGGTGTTAATTAAAGCTACATTTCTTATCACTGTACTCTCATGTCCCTCGTATTTCATCCAGAACTCAGTTTCAGATATGAATCGATATGGAACTGTTGCAAGAGGTGGATTTTTTTTCTGATCAAAACTTTGAAGATTTTTCAAGCGATGTTTTCTTAGCTTCTTTTTCGCTGATCAAAGTTCTTTGTTTTTCAGTGTGCAAATTTTTTCTTGCCGAGTGACGCTAGGCAAATTATTGTAGTTAGACGCATAATTAATTGATTTTTTTTGTTTCCTCTTCCTCGTTTCGCTTTATTCGTTGCTGTAGTTATCAATTTAGTAGCTTGCGTTTTATTGAAGAAAGCTATGCAGTTGAGCAGCGTTGTGTCTGGGTTTAATTTTAGCAAGAATAATAGAAAGTTCGTTCTTTGAATTGCTTTACAATGCTTCGTTTCTAATTAACTAATTTTTTTTACCATCACGATAAGCACGGATATTACAATCGTGTACTACTCTCTTTTTTCCGTTAAAAACTCTGTTCACAGAATGGTTAAAATTAGAATTGGTAAAATTAGACTCAGCTCATACATAATAATTTCATATTTTTACGTGTCCGGCACACTTGGTCTAGAGACAGCGTTTACGCCTGGGACGGCAAAATCTTGGGTTCTAATCTGACAGAATTTTTTTTTAAAGAGGAACTATTCCATTAGAAAAAATTCTCGGCTTAATATTTGTCTGCTTATGTTTTATCGGCTTAGTTGCCACATTCCAGATTTGTTTTTTTTTGCTGCTTGGAAGTTACATAATACTTGCTTTTAGTTTTTTTTTCTATTTGTAATTTTTTTTATCTTGACTTCAGATATTTTTTTTTGTTTTTTAAGATCAAAAATTTTATTCTACCCAAATGATTTCGGCGTATATTTTATTGGCCTAGTGTTTTTTTACCTATTTTCGAGTAAATTCAAGGGAAACATATTTCTTATGGTCCCCCCTTGATTGCACGAAATGCTGGCTATGATTTTAAAGCTATTTTCGAGTAAGTTCAAGGAAAACGTATTTTATGGTCCCCTCTGGATTGCACAAACTGCTATAAATCTTAATTGAATATATAGTTTTTCATGACAACTTTTTTTTGGGTTTTTTTAATTGTTTTTCGTTTCCTTTCTGTTCCACTCGATAGGTATCGCCCTATATAATATCGAGTTGATTTCCTCATATTGCGTCTTTTGACGATTTAAAAAAATATGTGCTTGTGTGTGATTTAAGGTAGAGGGGGACTTAATAACTTTTTATTAGTCGTATTTTTTTTGAATTTTTCTCCGTTTTTTTAATTTTTTTTTCGGCTTGATAGGTTTTCGGCTCAATTTTCTTTCATTTGACGAGCAAATCAAGTTTTTGTTTTGATCAAAATGAATTATTAAGTGAGACTTGATAATTCATTTTTAAATATCTAGTTTTGATAGATCTAGTTTTGAAAGATCTAGTTTCATAAATCTAGTTTTTATAATTTTTTCTGACGTAGCGGCTTACTTGTTTTGTATCACAAGTGATTCGAAGCTCAGTTTTGACTCTGTGTTTGAAATGGTGTTGTAGGCTGAGTTTTTATAGTTGTTATATTTTCGTTTGAAACAGATTTGTTTTATTTACAATTAAGTTTGTTTTATTTACAATTTCCAAAAACAAACATTCGGAACAGAATGTGCCATCTTGAATATTTTTTTTTTTTGCAAAAACAAAGAAAACTTGAAAGAAAATCGAATAAACTTTTTTGCTAGCTAATATTAGCCTCCTACAAAACAATTCATTGTTGATTCACTTTGTGTAGTGACTCATGTGGTGACTAGTTTTTTCTGACGTCCCTAGAGAGGAATAATGACAAGCCGTTTACTCGATACTGCAAAAACTTAAAGAATTTTTACGCTCGTAATCAGCAATCAATTAGCAATCGGAATGTTTTCGCGCATACAATGTGATTAATAGAATCACTGAATCATTTGGTTGCTTGATTTGCAATAAATTCAAATTGCGCGTGTTTGCGCATTTGGCTTAGAGGTACTGACCATGTCCGGCTCTATAAAGTTGGATGGTTAGATTTTGAGTTTGTCAAATATAATGTTGTGAATTATTAGTGTGCTAGAGAAGTTAATGGTTTCTTGAAATCCTCGAATTTTTGAAAAAAAAAGATAAATCTGGCATTTACAATGAAGTCAATTTTGTTAAGGTTTACTCTATTGCCATATATTTTTGTATCGCAAATGATGCAAAGCTCCTCTTCGCCTCTGTTTATTTTTGAACTTATGCAATTTGTATTACATGGACGCATTGGAAAAGATTCAAAGGATTTTTTTGCTATCAGTACCTTATTAAAAGCAGGGGCGGATCTAGGATTTTCTCGAGGGGGGGAGCGGAATTTCAAAAAAAAAATTTAAGGTCAGTCAGCCAAAAATGGATATCTCAAAATAGTACAAAGGGGGGACCCTTTGGGTCGGCAGGGGGTCGAATCCCTGAGGGAGGGGGGGAGGGTGTCATCCACCCCAACCCCCCCCCCCCCCCTCCCTAAATCCACCCCTGATTAAAAGGATCGTTTTTTGTGTATAGGCTGAATCTCCGAGAGTAAACTTCAAAGAAGAAAAGATATTTTCACGTCAAACTAGGTGCACATTTGCATATGTACAACCGTTAACAGCTATTCGAATAAGGTTCATGCAAAAATGGCAAAATATGCATGTTTGTAATATAGGGTCATAAGATTTGCATCACTAATTCAATTGTACAGGCAGACATACATATCTGAAAATCATCAGTCTATGGATTGACCCATTTTGAATACTTACAGCTCACTTAGAAGCAGAAAAGCTAAATCTTATTGCATTCATTAGCATGACGGAGGATGCTGACCTCACCACAGCACAACAAAAGTGAAAACAATTCAGTCGAATTAATTTTTAAATCGACGTAGATCATACCTATTCCAATGGGCCAATAGCACTGGGCCAGTGACGAGACGAAACCACCAACCCGTCCGAAATAAACGAACTTTTTGATGAGAAGAATCCGAGATGCTACAACAACACGTGAAGTTCATAGCTTGCCTTATTGTTGCACTTTAATTTAAATATCGCGCTAAACTCATAACGTTAGCTCAATACTGAAATTAAACCTTGAAATATTTTAGGGTCTGCACGAAAGCCTTGTTTGTTTTCTCTTGTGAAGGATGAATCTTATGATAAGGGTGTCTAAGCGGTAATAGGCGAGCAGCTCGACCACAATTTCTTTGCTTACCTTTGTTTCTGAATTTTCAAAATCCAATAGAACGATGGAACTCGAGACTTTTCGGAACTAGAAACGAATAATTGAATTCAATTGCATGCTCGAAAGATCATTTTGAGCGTTTACTACAAAAAGAACAAGTAGCTCTTCGTTTGTTATAATTGATCATTTTGATTTTTACTTTTCAGTGTTATCTCAAAAGAACTTGTTCGGAAAAAGACTAGTTTTCTGAAGTGACTTAATGTTTGTTTTTCCAATGGATGCACTCAAAAGTGTCCTTGGCAGAGCACTAGCTGAAGTTTTTGGCTGTTGTTATTGTTTCTGAAGATTCTTCAAATTTTCGACAGACTTTTTTGCAGCTACAATGTTTTGGTTTCGTTAAATAAATAAAATCACTAAAACAGCTGCTGCGTTTAGTAGCTTATTTTAACAAAAAGTTTTAAGCGTTTAAACAGTTTGTTATTTAATCGGCGGAAAATTGTAAAACTTCAATCCAATGTTGCATGATAAAATGAGCTTCATTCTGCGTTTTTATGACTCGAGGGATATAAAAGTCGAATAATTGGTGCTAAGTCATGGTAATACAAGGGCTTCGACCAGAATTTTGAATCGTATTTACTTAAAATCCAAAACTCAATGGACAGTTTAGCTGCAAAAATTAGTTAAATACCTGACTCGCTATTAACCATTTTTAAACATGTTGTATATAAAATACCTGTGATAAACATTCACTTCAACTTTTAAACTACGGTTTGTTTTTTGATACGCACGGTGCATTAGATCGCTTAGTATTTTAAATAGCGGCTCATCATTACTTTTATATCGTTTTCGTTCTGAAAACGGCTTTAATGTGCATCAAGTATTTCATTTGTAAATGATCGCTTTTGTAATTTTTGAATGGAATTTTTGACTGCCAATTATATCTCCCTATCGCAATTTCACGGTTCAGGAGCATTATTGCTCTATTTTCGAATGCGTATTTAATCCAGCGATTTTTCCACATTTTCTGCGACCGATACGGCTTGAGTGGATAAACAAAAGTAAATAATTCAAAATAATAAACAATCTTTGATTTTACTGCAAATGAGCCGGCCCATTCGACCAAATTGCGTGGACTTATAGACCATATTGAAGGAAACTGTCTCGATTGCACGCCACTGCCATTATGAAATTTATTACCTTTTTTGTCTCATTCATTTTGAAACAGGCTCATGTTTTGGGTGTTGCCACGATTACTGAATGAAGTTGACATTCGCTTGAGGTACTCGCCTATCGCGGTCGTTTCTGTCAAGTATTGTTAGATTATTTAAAACCATACCAAATTTTGATTTTTGGAGTTTTTTTTTCTGCAAAATGAAATTACCTTGACCATCGCCTTAGTTTACAGCAATCATTCTTTTAACCTCGTCAAAATGACTTTGATATAGTTGTTGTATTTTTACGCTCTGGTTCATCCTTGTTTATTGCTATAAATTGGCTTTTTATTATTAATTATATAATTAGTTATATCTAGAAATAGTTAGTGCTACCAGTCTTAACTATGGACAAGTATGACAACTTGGGTATGGTGGGAGAGGGTAGTTATGGTGCTGTGATGAAATGCAGACACAAGGAGACTAACCAATTGGTGGCCATTAAGAAGTTCCTGGAAAGTGAAGACGACAAAGTGGTCAAGAAAATTGCAATGAGAGAAATCAAGATGCTCAGGGTAGGTTATGACTTATCATCTCACAGATAAGAGACCGACAAAAGGTAAATTAGCTATTAAAATCATTATAACGTACATCTCGCTCAAAGTAAACCGCAATGCTTCTACTCGTGAAATCGAAGTTTCGTTCACTCCGCTGCGTTTACATTCGGCACGAGTGGTTTATTGCGCGTGAATCAGTGTTCACCGCTACTCTAGATAATTTTTTTTGTTTCGTGATTGAAGAGAAAGCACATTTTACAGAAAACAGCAACTCACGTTACTGTTCCGGCTTACGAAGAAGCTATCGGAATACTTGTGCTCGGTGGTGTGTTTTTTATCGCGAAACAAACTTCGACTTTCCAACCAGAGTTTTCAGACAACATTTTTATACAGTTGAACCATTAAAATTGGTTTGAATTTTTTCTATATCGCGTAAGCGGCGTTATTATCCTGCCCAGAAATCTTTCCAAAAAATTTTAAAAGGCGCATTTGGCGCCAATCTTATATATTAAATGTAACTCCGAATGCGCTATGGACGCAAAGTTTAACTGAACGCAATGTTTTAGCTTTGTCGAATGCAACGTTTAAAAAAATTTTAAGGCTTAACGTTTAAGAGAAGGCCAAGAATGTTCTCGAACTTTCAAATTATTTCAAGTCTGTTGTTGGAAAAAACTCAATTCTTTAGACAAGATGAACTCAATTAATTTTCAAGGCTAGACATTGCCTGTCTATTTTTTCGAAATTTGCGTTCTTAGATAGATTTCATTCTAAAACGAACCAACTAAAAACAGCAACCTCCTTGCTAGGAAAACTAGCTGTTTGCAAACAGATTTGCACTATAAATTGTTTTGAAAATTTTCAAAGTTTCATTGCCTCAATAGCTTGCGTAGAAAAACTTAAGCTTTTCGCAAACCGATTTGTCCATTGAAATAACTGGAAAACTTCAAAAGGTTCATCCCATGAATCGTGTGCTCAGAAAAACGTTAAAATATTTCAAGTTATCTTATAGACCGAATTGTTTCACGAAAACCTTAAGCTTTTACAGCAAAGCGTTCGCAAACATTTTGTAAGCAAGCTTTTTGCAAACATTTTTTAAATGTTCAAAGTTTTCAGAGCTTTAATAGCTCGCTTAGATAAACTTAAGCTTTTCGCAAAACGATTTGGTCAATGAAACAATCTGAAATAATTCCAAATTTCATAGCTTTAAAAGCTTGCTTAGAAAAATTTCAAGTTTTCCTGAACCAATTCGGTCTGTAAATTAACTTGAAAGTGTTCAAAGTTTCATAGCTCTAAAAGGCTGCTAAGAAAAACTTAACTTTCCGTGAACCGATTTGGTCAACAAAATAACTTGAAACATTTCAGCTTTAGCTTGACTATGTTGCGTCGAAAAGTTTGAAGCGTTAAAAGCTAGATTAGAAAAACTTTCAGTCTATGAACTCATTCAGTCTATGAATTAATTTGAAAAAGTTCGAAGTTTCATAGCTTCAAAAGCTTGCCTAGAAGATTTTAGGTTTTTCGCAAACTGAATTGGGATACAAACTATCTTAAATTATTTTGAATTATTTACGTAAAAAAGCTTGCTAAGAAAAATGTATTTTTTTTGCGAACGGATTCGATCAACCAAACAATTTGGAAAATTTTAAACTTTATAGCTTGAATAGCCTGCTTAGAAGACTGTAAATTTGCTGTCTTCTGCTAGCTCTTTTTTCTGTTTCAACTCTGTTTCAATGAAATATTTTGAAGTTTCATAACTTAACTAGTTTGCTTAGAAACACGTAAATTTGTTGCCAACAGATTGGCTAGTTTCCTAACTTGGAATGCTTGCTTAGAAAAAGTTGAACATTTTGCGAACTGATTTGGTCCATAGAATAGCTTGAAATAATTCAAACTTCCATAAAATGAATAGCTTGCTCGAAAAAAAAACATAGGTTTTTTGTGAACAGATTCGGTCAAAGAGATAAGTTTACGCGTATCAAAGCTTAGGCCAAATAGCTAGCATACCAAAAGTTTTTTTTTGATAATCACTTTGATCTGTCAAATATCTTGTAATAGTTAAAAACTCCATCGCGTGATTGGCTCCAGTAGAAAAACTTGAAATAGTTTCTATCCGGTTAGGTGTATGAACTAATATCAAAAAACCAAAGTTTCATTCTTTCGCTATCCGATTCGCTGTAGTTGGTTTCAAAAGTGTATAGCTTGAATAGCTTGCTTGAAAAAATTATTAGCTTTTCTTAACCAATTTGTTTTCAAATGTTTCAAAGCATAATATTAATAGCCAGCATTCATTCTTTGAAAAACCTTGAAACAATTCCAAGTTTCATAGCTCTAATAGTTTGATTAGAAAAAGTTGAATCTTTTGCGAACCAGTTTGCTGTGTGAAGTAACATGAAATATTTCAAAGTTTCATCGCTTGAATAGCGTACTAAGAAAAATCTTAACTTTTCGCCAACTGATTCGCTCTATCGAACAAGTGAATTTTTTCAAAGTTTCCGTGCTTCAATAGCTTGCCTAGAAAAACTTCACTTTTTCGCGAATTTATTCGCTCTATGAACCAACTTTAAATAATTCAATGTTTCATCGCTTGAAATGATTTCATGGAAAAATCTAAGGTTTCACTTTCCGATTTGCTTCATGAAACATTTTGAATTATTTCAAAGTTTCAGCTTGAATAGCTTGCTTAGAAAAACTTCAATGTTTTTGGGAACCGATTCGTTCTACGAAACCTATTGTTTTTCAAACCGATTTAGGATATGGCTCAACTTGAAACTGTTCAAAGTTTCATTGCTTGGATAGCTGGATCAAAACTTTTTTTTGCGAGCGAATTGATTATCGGAGGCGGTCTTTCTAGTATGTATTAGTTTTGAGGAGGAGCGCGCGCTTTTTTGAGCAAAAATTTCCAAAAAGTTCCTAAAAACGCATTTTTTGGCATGTTTTTTCAATTTATCAAAAATTTGCCTGCGGTGCAGAAAATATGACTAAAACAGAGTCTTTTTAGCGCTTTGGGAGAGCTCGAAAAATCATTTTGGTCGACCTAAAAAAAGGTCGACAAAGTTTTCGAAATGTTTTTGAAAATCCGCCCCCTCCTCAAGAAAATCGTAGATCCGCCCCTGATGATTCGATGTAATTAACGTGTTGCTATCAGCTAAAGGAATCACGGTGGACTTTACATTACGTGTGGGGCATGATTTTACGAATTGCCTAATAGCTAACTTGAGATAACTAATGCGCGCTTTACCAGGTTGCTAGTGACGCGTAGCGTAAGTGACAAAGTAATCTGGCTAAGAAACCTTGTAGTTGACATTGCGTGTAGGTGAGTGAGAGATTTAAAAAAATTAGGTTTTCATGGTTTTTTGGGGCTTAAACTAAAAGTTACTTCAGATGCCCTAAAAAGCAGACGGAACGTTCAAGACTCCTCCTTGATAAGATACGTATTGTCCCTTTATTTACAAGGAAACAAAGCAATTTGGAGTTGCGGAAAACATTGATGTAAATGTAAATTATCACTCGCGCCAAATGTAAGCGTAGCGGAGTGATGCCTAGAAGGAGGTCGCTATATGCCACGGGCGTGTCTGAAGAATTGAGTTTGAATTATTCATTGTCTATGTTTTGCGATAGATATATTTGCCTGTTGTGCGGGCACCGAAATGATCGAACTTCCCTAATTAGACCAAAAAGTATCTGATTCTGATTGGCTGAAAAGGTCCTTTTTTAAACAAAAATAAAATTCCCCTTAAACAACGCATAAGGGGTGGAAAGTTGACGTAGACCTGTATTTCATATCATAAAAATTGCACGGCAAGACCGCGTCCTTATCGAAATATGCGTTACTATACGGGCTAAAAACGAATCATGCAGTGCTCTGCTGGGAATGCAAAACCCAAAAAGAACAAAGCTATTAACTTGAAAAAATAAAATGTTGACAGTAAATATGACTAAATCAGGATAATTGCGAAAAGTTTTGATCGCTCTTTTTTTACACTCAATCTTAACCAAAAACTTCAATAATCAATAAATTTTATCATCACGATGTAAATGTCCATAAAATGGGAACAATTCCAATCCATGCGCTTTTTCTGTGAAAAGACTTAAAGAATATTTAACGAAAAAATTTTGGCTGCTATACTGGAATTTTTAGGCTGTCAAAATTTTAAAGCCTATAAATCGTGATTCGGAATTTAACAATATTGTTAAAAGTTGCCGAGAACAATTGGTCTGGACTTTTTGGCATTCAGACTTTAATACAGTCTCGCATTAAATGTAGTTAATTCGATTCTTACGTGAGTTTAGTTGTTATTCCCATTTTTTCTGGCATGTTTTTACATAATGCAATCGCCTCTTTTAACTCTAAAAGACCTTGGGAAATTGAGAAACTATTTTTCTACCTACATTTCCTCCAGGACGTTTTTCTTTATTTTTGAGATTTGTTTCAAAAGTAAGTTAAGTAAAAGGATAAAACCGATGTTAAAAATTGCCAAGAAAAAAATATATGAACTTTTTTGCATTCAGACTGTAATACAGCCTCGCATCAATTGTAGTTAAATTCAATTCATACGTGAGTTTAGCTGTTGTTCTTTTTCTTTCTGACACGTTTTTGCATAACTCAATCCGTTTTTACTTCAAAAGACCCCGTGATATTCAGAAATTTTTTTCTTTAATTTCTTCGGAAGTTTTTCTTTATATTTGAGATTTGTTTCAAAAGAAAATTTTCTTCCAGATTTCATGCTAGTAAGGAGAGAGTCGTAATTAAACCAGTAAGCTAACGAGCTAAGAGTCTTACTTTGATTCCACTTTTTTCCAACCCTTCTCGCAAATAAAAGTAACCATTTGCAGGCTCTAATGCTGCATTGAATTTTTAATTTTGTATATTCTGTTCTATCTGTTTTTTTGGTGGCTAGTGTTTTCATGTTGACAAGCTACCATAGCGCAGATATGGAGACGCAATAGTCGTAATCTTTGGGTCGGTGGTTCGTTTTGGCTCATAACGAAATTTTATTTTTCAAGGTTTTTCTTAACTTTTTTGAAAATTTTTTCTTTCGCCATTTCACTTCTTACTTTTTAGGAGCTCTTTTTTGCCGTTTTTCGCTTGTGTTTGCGCAAAGCAGCTTCGTTTCTTTAGTTTTGAAAGTGGATTTTTGTTAGATTTTCCACTAGAATAAAATATCACTTATTGAACCTGTTTTTTTTAATTGGTGTAATTTTATTTTTCAAGAGTCAATCATGAAAGAGTTTAAAAGTTGAAAAAGCATTAAAATTCTATGGTTATTTTTTCTCATATCTTTATTTTCGGTTTCTTTGAGCAACTCTCACCTTTCGAAATTTTTGTTAGTTATTATTCTGTAAATTCAGTCTGAATTTTTGATATTTCTTTTTCTTGTTCACTCTACAAATAGCAAACACTTTACGCTGTCTAATAACAAGAAGAAAATTTGAAATGCCAAAAAATTGCTACAAAAAATCACAAATGTGAACCTAAAAAACGGCGGTTGATCCATTTTTGCAACTTGCATGATTTCCATCAAAAAAGTATCAATCAGACAAAAGTCTTGAAATTGAAAGAGCGTCAAACTGATCTATCTGAAAGTATGTAATGTAGTTGAGTAATTATTTCAAAAAAAATTTTTTTTTGCTCCTTGTTTCGTAAAACATTTTCATGCAATTTTGATGCACAAACGTCAATTTTGACCGGTTATTTCAAGAACTGCAGAATTTTTTTTCAAAATAGGGTCCTGGTAGTATTTTGAGAGAGATCGGAATATCAATGTGGTCGGCCATAGCAAACGCTCAAGAAACCCCTGGAACAAAACCCAATACGACCTGCAGGTTAAAAAAGGCGAGAAAATAGTTTTAGTCTATTGAAAAACATTTTCAGTAGACTGAAAATAGCGACTTCACACGATAAGAAAAAAATTAGCTGTGTAAATTGAAGAAAAATACCTGTACACAATTACAATAATGGGAACAGGACGTGTCTGTGCGCATCAAACAATGTCGATCTAAAATGTAAACAGTATCTATTTTTTCAGCAACTCCAACACGACCACCTGGTAAATCTTCTGGAGGTATTCCGGCGCAAGAAGAGACTCTATCTGGTGTTTGAGTTTGTGGACCACACAGTGCTGGACGATCTAGAGAGGAACCCTCATGGTATGGATGAGACCAGGTGCAAGAAGATACTCTGGCAGGTGCTGAAGGGCACAGAGTTCTGCCACAGTCACAATGTAAGGAGCAAACAAATGGGTTCTCCCCCATTATAGACCCCCAGAGGCATATTATTGCTCAGCTTAACCACGTTTGTTCAAGTTGTAACTAAATTCTAGAGCAACGAATTTTTCTTACAGTTGCAATAGTCTTAAATACGCTTTAGCAGGTAGTAAAGTGTTAAAAACTTCGAATGTACTGCTTAAGATATAATATAGAGTACAAACTTCAAGAAGGGTACATGAAATTGAGCAATCTTGTAATTCGGTGTCACGATGAGACATCAATTAACATCCTCAAAATGTTATCCTTAAGTTTTCTTTCAGTCTGCATTCCTGCTTCAAATGAGACTAAAAATTGGTTTTCTGTCAAAAGTTTCCACTCGATTGAACAGAAACTTCTCGAACATTCCGCAGCAAAGGACCAGTCAATTATTAAATTTTGAAATCTCTTTAAACAGGTCTAAAATAACGATAAAAATGGGAAAATGTTTTTAATCATTTTGGGTTTAACGGCGTTATAAAGTATTTTTTCTCAGAAGCTTTATTGATTCGTTTTGTTAATTTGGATAAAAATTTATCACATTTGTTGATAATTTAAGCAAATTGTTGCGCCTGATGTTTATCTACGGAGTAACGCACGCGAAGAGGTTAAAAAGACTAGGAATTTTTATGCTGGGATTTTTAACACTCTCTCCATAGATAATTCCTGTAGCTGGACACCTTAGATAGTTGCCAGACATAAAAGTGCAGGAAAAAATCTACGATGCCTTGATGAAAATTTATCCATGTTACTAAAGGTGGTATATAAACCAGCCGAAGTATAAGCCAGCCGAAGTATAAACCAGCCGAAGTTTAAACCAGCCGAAGTATAAGCCAGCCGAAGTATCAACCAGCTGAAAATACGTAAGTGCTATATAATAGCTATTTAACAATTATGTAACAGTTACAAAAGTTATGCAAATTTCATTCTTATGATGTAACTTTTCGGCTGTTTTATATACTCTGAGCTTTTTCGGTTGGCTTATACTTCGGCTGGTTTATTCACACTCGGGTTTCTTAGTTGTGTTGGGGCATTTTTTAGGAAGAATCGTTGGCGTCCTTTTCAGATAATCCACCGAGACATCAAACCCGAAAACATCCTGGTGTCGAAGACCAATGTGGTTAAGCTGTGTGACTTCGGCTTCGCCCGCACACTGGCTGCACCGGGGGAGATCTACACGGACTATGTTGCCACCCGGTGGTACAGGGCACCCGAACTACTAGTCGGAGATACCACCTACGGAAAGTAAGATCAATTTTTCTTTATCCTCGTCGTCATCATTTTCATTAACATATCAGGTTTCGAGGCATTCACTTGGAGAACTGCTTTTTGATCTAGTTTTTTTTTATCTAGCTCTTCTGATTATAGTTGAATTATGTCAAAATCAAGCCGTAGATAGAAACCTATGAAGTATTTTATAAATCTAGTGGGTTGTTTTGCATTAGTGAGGGTTAGTTTTCAAAGATTTACAGTTTATCGTAACTGAATTGAGTCTTTGAAAAAATTTTTGTGAGTATACCAACAAACAGGTCCTCGTGTTTATTTCAGCAGCTATTTAATTGAGTAATTTAGGGCAGTGGATATCTGGGCATTGGGGTGTCTGTTGGCCGAGATGCTCACTGGAGACCCTCTTTTCCCTGGAGATTCAGACATAGACCAGCTGCACCTAATCATGAAGTGCTTCGGTTAGTTAATTATTGTTCCGACTGTTTGCTCCGACAAATGAAAATGGGGAGGAACTTTGTATTCAGGTGTTTTAGTTTTTTCTTTTTGTTTTCCACGCAAAATCTGGTACAGCAAATAATCATTGGAATGGGTCGAGTGATATATCATTCTCTTTCCGTTGTGATTCGAACGACATTGAACGGATTTGAAAAGTTTCTCAGTGTCGAGAAAAATTAGTTTGAAATTTTTGGTTTTTGATCTTATTTCGAGCGAGTAACGCGATCGAGTAACGTTCTTTCTATACAACAATTGATCGAAATTGGTCAATTGATTAAAAAAAATTGAATTTACTTAAAGAAAAACTAATTGTGGATTATTCAATTCTCGCTTCCTTGGCAATCAAAAAATATTAAGAAATTACTGTGCAAAAAAATGTTTTAAATGGAGAATTTTTTTTTTGGAAAAAATTTTTCATGTTTTTGTTTGTTTTCCAATTTTTGATGATAACTGTAGTCAACTTCAGCTAAATTGCTGTGCTCGTAACACGTTTTTTTTAAATGTGGTCGTAACGTTTTGTGCTACGTGCACAGCAACCGGCTATCCTTGTTTTACTTTGCTTTTGCTCTCACGTTAGATCAGATTTATTAAAACGGTTGATTATTATTGTCGTTAAGAGTTTTTTCGATAGTTCATTTCGCTGATTTCCAGAGCTTACATGAGCTTATACTTCCACGGTTTTCCTTTAATTGTATTACTTGTCATTTTACGATATCCGCTTTTTTCCTACCCAAGTCGCAAATGCAATTTCTCATCTATTTGATGGCTGTTTGCAGCAATAACATAAGATCGTGTTTATTTCTGCTGCTTAGCATTATATCTTTGTATCTGGTTTATTGGTGGCTAGTGTTTGAAGGTTGTTACGCGCCCATGACTTTGAGCTGCGTCAGTTTAAATGTATTTTTAAGCTCGAAATTTTTTATGTGTGATTAGAGTTTTTCACAAACAACTATTTAAGCCTGACATGTATTTTGTATCGCCAGTAGTGTGAAGCTCTGCCTAGTCTCTGTCTGGTTACTAAATTTTGAACGATTTGGATTTTACCTTAACTATTTTACACAACTCTATTTTTTTTGTTTGCGTTCAAGATTGTTATAAATCAACTGCACTTTGAGTTTGAATTATACATTTTTTGTTTGCAAACTTGTGTTTTGTTGTTCTACTTGTTTTGCAGATAAGATAGATAAATTTCTTTCCGCATCGCAAGTGGTGGGAAGATCAGCTTTATTTCTGTGATTTATATAGAAGATTTTGGGAGTCATTTCTGGAAAAAGTCTTCAAATTCTTTTTCCGGAAAAAGTTTTCGAACTTGCTTACGCTCAATTTGATTTAAGATTCTTTTAAGTTTCAGTTCAATTTCATTCGAAAAAGAAAGACAAGTTACGCTCTTCACTTACGAAAGTGCACATGGCGCAAAAAACATGAAAATGTTTCAAATGTAGAGTTATTTGATTCCGAGCGAAATAAAAAATTACCTATTGATCAAGTTTTCTCTAATTGAGTTAGTGTTAAGAAGAAAGTGACAATACTAAAATATTCTTAAAAACCAATAAATTTTACATATGACGTTTTTTTTTCAAAAGTAGAAAAATGTTCCAAATAAGTCGTTTTTGTTGGTTTTCTGAAGTTCAATGGCAATTTTGATTATTTTTATGGATTTCTGTTAAACTTAAAGTTTTTTTTATAGCCTGTGGCATATTTCATCGACAATATTTTTGCATTTCAAAATGTGAGCTTTTCTGCAAAATTTTGAAAATACAGGAATTCTGATGAAAAATGTTTTCAGTTCTTATCAAGATTTTGTGAACTGCTTCTGATGAACTTATGACTCTTATGACGCCTCTGGATTTGGAACATTGCATATTAAAAGACAGTTCAAATTCACTATCGCTGTATGCATCGGTTAATTTTATTCATTTGATAAAGGCCCACTGTCATTAACAGAACATTGTCAATCTATAAAAATCATCATCACCTCTGCAAATTGTACGAATGCAAAAAACTGCGTTGTTTGATGCGTTTAAAACTGCGGGTGGTAATTTAAGTATCGCGTTAAAACTTGCAAAAGTTGAATTATGGCTCTTATTTAATAGGCCATCTCTTTTGTTAAATGGTTCTTAAATAATCTGTCGTGTCAGATACATTATTACTACGGGGATCTGTTAATAGATCTAACTGCTGCTTTATTTTTAGCAAGCTGTTCGTTTTTTTTGTACAAAATGAGTTTTTACTTTAATGTAGAAAAGCTGCGATAAAGTGGCTATTAACTCTACTTTCGTGGCTATTAACCGGCAAGAATAAGATGTCTAGTTAGTGTGACATAAAAACTGAAAACGCACTAATTTCGGGTCAAATTAATTGTCATCAGGGACAGAGTCATCAAGTTGGTCTGAAAATTGAAAAAGTTCAGACCAATTTTTTTCGACACCAATAAAGTTCTTGTGATTTTTGGAATGGGAATCACGGCTCAAAGGGCTTGAATATTATTCCACACTTAAATACCTGCGAGCTTTCTTTGATGCAGTAAAGTGCATGGCGAAAAAACGCACCATACCGACACCATAGTTCACGACTGCTAGTGTAGCTCTTTGAGCTATCATTCGAGAAGACGTCCTTTTGTAGCTGGTTCATGACCTGCCGTGTGAAAAAAATCTATAGTTTTGCTTAGTCAGCCAGTTAACAAAGTTAGGGGCAACAATTAGATTTTATCAATTTTATATCAACTATCTCGTTAGGTCTAATTTTTTGCGCGGATTTTTTGGGTTCATTGGACGACTGCCGCATTTTTGTCGGCTTCTTGCCAAAAACTATTGTTTCAGCTGAAGTTTGCTTAATAAATATTTATTTCAGGTCCTCTGCACTCCAAGTACAAGGAGATATTCCTTCAGAACCCTCTTTTCTCGGGGGTGCGTCTTCCCGAGATCAAACACGTGGAACCCCTAGAGAGGAAGATCCCACGGGCCAACAAGTATCCCAACTCCCTTGATTTCATGAAGGTACGATTGGAGCGTACAATTTTGTTGATGAAGCAGCGATGAAAAAAAAAAGTGTTTTGAACATACTGATTCTCTTAATGATCATGGCTGAGAAATTTCCTTTCCTGTTTTCTAAATTTTTCATCCGACCTGAGCTCTTTTTTCGTTAAAGCAGCGGAAAAATTATAGACTCTAACCTACTAATTTTACTAAATTCACATGATCGTTTCGGGAGCAACAATTTTTTGTTTCTGCTGAAACCTCAACGAGCAGAAATCGCGAAGCATAAATTTTACTGTTATATATCTTCAACTTGAAATTTTCTCAAGGTTTAGTCAAACCTCAACAAACTATTCAAAATTTGATGCTACCATTTTTGCAATTCTTTAAGAACTCAAACCGCGCTATCGAGCGTTGCTCAAAATTCGTGCAAGCAACTGAAAAATTGTGTTGACTGAATTGACAGGTATCTATGCGACTGGACGCCATGGACCGTCCCTCGTGTGTGCAACTGTTACGTCACCCCCTGTTCACCTCAGACGGATTCGCTGAGGACTTCTCGAAGGAGCTGAAGCGGAAGATAGACAAGGAGAAGACAGACAGCAACAACCTCTACAAGATACTAAGAGGAGAGAGGGACAAAGACGCGTCTAAGAAACAATCCTCCTTTGCTTCCAAGTTCCAGGTGAGACTTCGTTGACATAAATCCACGAGGCAATGAATGAAAACTGTTTTTGCGTTAATTCTGTGATTTGAATCAAATTTTGTAGTTTTTACTTCCGAACCTTCAAAGAGAAATGAAAACGATTTGACGCTGATGATGACAATTATGACATTGAAAAAAAAAGTTTATATTTGATGAAAAAACTTACAAAATTGAAAGTTATCATTGAAAAGTTGTCATATTATCTAAAACTTAGTTATTTTAGTCTAAGCAAGGAGACTCGGTTGCTCAGAAGGCAAACAATAACCAACCAAACGGAGAAAATAACAACAACTCAGTATCTTTACCTGCCATGAAGAAACAGTCACCGAACAAAGCCACACCTCTGAACGAGAAGACAAACCAAAAACCTCTTATTTCACCCAACCTCCCGAACGTTCACGACAAAAACCCGAACTCCAATTCTGTCAATCAAGCGAACCCAAATGATACGCTATTATCCGACAAACAAAGTATCATTAGCAAACGATCTGACAACTCACGAAGAGTTGACCCGAGTATGAACCCGAATCCCACAGGTCAAATTGGTTCAAATCAAGGTCAAAATGTCAGTCCAGATTACGAACCAATCAAAAGTCCAGTCAAAAATGCATCTTCACAGCTCGGTTCCCAAAAACAATCGACAACTATGCCTGTTATTTCCAAAACGCCGAGTATAACTGCCGGAAACAAACAGAATGGTTCAACACTAGCATCTACGGTTACCCCGTCGCCCCCTTCATTGCTTAATAGCGGCGGGCCAGGTGGAAACACTTCGCCAGTGGCGTCGAACAAAGGTCACGTGAACTATCTGCATCAGACGCCCTCTAGCGGGGGAAACTACAATGCCACTCCCGGAGGGATCGGGTTGGGAGGCAGGACAGTGACTAGTCTCCATGGGGGGAGTCCGAGAGCTTTTAGTCAGCTTCAAGGTCACGGCCAAGGTTATACTGGCAACCAGGTGCAATCGGTGGGTAGTGTGGTTAATCTCAACATGGACCATTTGCCCAATCGCGGAAGTCCGGGTGCTGGAGGGTTGAAGTGAGTAGATATATTTCTACTTGCTTTAATAAACTTGTAGGCTCTTTCGGCCAGCGGTGGTGAAATGTCTAAGTCTCCGCCTCTCAATTGGAAGGCCGTTGGTTCGAGGCCTATCATCATGATGATCTGTGCTCGTTGCTTGACGGTCAGGCAATTTTACCCAGACCAGAAAAATAAGCAAAAAATTCGTATGCAACCCTTAAACAGGGATACAGCAGCGGTTCTTCTGTGTAATGAGTAGAACAGCTGTTATTTTGGTTATTTTCCGCGCGCGAAAGTCTTAAGTTGAAGGGAATGTTTTTTTTCTAAATCTGGCTGATGCGCGTAAAATAGTCTGTGTAAATTAAAAGGTAACGATACCTTGACTCAACTGGATTGAAAATACAAGTAATTTATCTTAAAATTACATAATTCAGTGTCGAGTTAAGATTAGATTTTGCAGTTTTGATAATATCACCTTCTTCTGCGGTAATGCATAAAAAGCTTGCTCGGTCGTTATTGCGCCCGGCCTAATTTCTTAAGAGGGTTGAATTAGTCGTTTGCAGCAGTAACTCGGTTTCTCGGCGGTGATTTGTTGCGAATATTGCGAGTTATTTAGGAAAACTTATTCGATGAGTAACGGGAGTCTTGTATCTCCCGGACGTCAAGTAGCGGGGGGTATCCCTGCAGTCGTCAGTCTAGACACATCAGGAGGGGGAGCAGGGGGTAGACCTGCCTCCCAGCAGAGTCTCGATGCTCTATCCTCCTCTGTGTTTTCTAAAAACAGCTCCCAGTCGGGAAACCTCCCTATATGGTAAGATACAAGTATATCAAGAGATTAGTCCAAGATGGAACAATAACAAACTAATGCTAAAACTAATTACTAAATTGCATGGAATGCTAACTGTTCACACTCTAATTACTATTTGTGATAATCACTTACGCCGATTGATACAATATGAGAAAAACCTAACGAAGATTCACCTTGACTTTTTCTTGCAGTTTCTTCTAAAATTCATCCTTTATAAAAATTTTGACTTCGACATTTGAGTGATCACTTCTAAAAATCGAATCAGTACATATAATTGTATTTTAATAGTGATGAAATTGTTGCAGGGCTGGTATATCGACCTTGAAACGAAGCTACACCAACGTGTACAAGAAGCCCAAATCGACCGAACTCCCGTCCCAATCACCCTTCGACCATCCTCCGGGTACCCTACCCCTCTCCTCCCAACACCTCCCCAATGGAACCAGCCCTCGCCACGAACAGAGCCTGAAGATGAAAGATTTCAAGTCTTCAGGGCTGATCGGGGGAGGGGGAGAGAAGAGTCATTTGAATTCAAAGGGGGGTCAGTTGGGAAACGGATCTCTGCATCAGCGGTTTTCGCCTCCATCTAACTTCAAATCTATGAGCAGCAACAATTTTTCACCACGTTAGTAACTAGGCTTTCTTAATTTTTGTTCCGACCATTTAATAAATGAGGAAGAACTTTGTATTCGGGTGTTTTAGTTTTTTCTTTTTGCAGGCTTACAATAGCTTATATTTGCTTAATTTAAGCCGTGAAATTTAGTTTTACTGGAAATCAAAAACTTCAAAATTCAAAATATGTTTTGCATTTGTTAAGACGATGGTTGGAGCATTCTGTGCTTCTTGCACAGTAACCGGCTATCCTTGTTCGTATTTGCGTTTTTTTCTTGAATTTGAAAAATAAGCATACTGTACAAATGCTCAGATGGAACAAATGAGCAATCCCTCCAAGTGGTACTTGACGCATGTTTAAAACCATTGAAATTTGTTTTTATTATATGAAATCATGCACCAGATTCTGCAACGAATGCGAAGCAGCAAAAGCTACAAACTCGAAAAGTAACTTCAGAGCAAAAAAAGCCTAATTTTGCATCCTATGCCGGCGTCCCATTTTAATGTAATGCAACTAGGGTATTGCTCCGATAAATGGCCACGGGAGCAGACTGTTCATACATAGCTGTCCATTCTTATCGAGATCCCGCGTTCCTCGTGGCTTCTTCCTTGCTGCAGCTCACTTCCCTACCTCTTTGACTCATGCCCTCCGATGCATTCGGCTCTCCATATTTTTCTTCTTTGCCCCACAGTACTGACGCTCTCACAGTTGTTGCATGCACCAGCAAACACCCGCGCGCTTGATCAAGTGGATCACTCTGCTGACTCATGGTATGTCCTGTCCTGCAGGTCGGCGCCACCCTTGTCACTTCGGCAGTCCACTGATTCCTCCGATGTCTTTTCGCACTGCGAGTAGATGAGTTCATTTTCACTGCAACGCTTTTTCTGATCAAAACCTTTGCTCCACCAGTTCCTGCAGAACTGCCATTGTCAATGACTTCTGCAGTAGATCATCGAGCTCCTCCAGTAATACGCACTCTTCGAGTTCTACAGGCTTCTCCAGTACCGCTAGCTTAGCATCTCCATCACCACACACTCCTCCAGTACCATAAGGTCCTCGAGCACAACAAATTCTTTTAGTATCATAAGTTTCTCTAGTGTCTCAATTTCCCGAGGTTTCCCAAACTTCTCCAGTACCACAAGCTCCTTGAGTTCCATAAGCTTCTCTGATGCTACAAAATCCTCAACTTCCACAGGCTTCTTTTGTACAACAGGTTGGCATCCGCCATTGCCTGCTCTGCTTGTGCTGTTTTCCACTAGTAGTCTGTTTTCCAATCACACTAGCAGCTCCCTGGAATCACCAGTGTAGAATTATGTGTTTTTTCTTCCTTGGTTTCTGTGTAGCGCTGGGTTTTTCTCTCAACCCAAATCTAGCAATCGAGGGCGCAATCCTAGCTAAAGTGATTGCTGCTTCTTTGTTGACGATGAAGATGAAAATCAGAGCCATACAGGAACAGTAGATGGCAAATAGAGCATGATCAGGGGAGAAGAGGCAAGGCATGGAGGCATGGAGAGAGAGAGAGAGAGAGAGAAAGAGAAATACAGAAAGAAAGATATGTTAACCCAAGCTCTGAGCGGACGGTGAAAACAAGTCTCTGGATTTCTTAACACTCGCTATTCATTCTGGAGTTGGGGGCGTTGACTTGGAGCTGACCAAGTTTTGTCACTTTCCCGAAGTTTTGGTCAATGAAAACCGACATCTTTACATGCAAACGTATCATCTTCCAACTTAATTTTGTCCAATTTTACTTTTGGTCTTCACTTCAGCCTTTTTATCCCTTTGGTCTGGTATTTTCAACATACTTGGGGATATAATAATATTAAATCTTCTCGGCTACATGGATTCAATTTTAGTAGCTGATAGTGGGAGTGGATACTTTTATACATAGGAAAGAAAACTATCAAAAAAATTGAATATGCGTAACTCTAACCATTCAAATTTACTTAAGACAACTTAGCCAATCCTACACGTCTGAGTGTTTTTTGTTGTGTCTCTGGAATCAATGTATTATTTTCATCACTGGCTAGCTTGAATAAATTTTATAGCAGGTTTTTGAAAAGTACCAAAAAATGAAGTGGCCCTTGTGGAACGCCCTAGTTACAAGAAAACATTTTTTCTCGCTTTCATGTTTAAATACTGCAATCCCTTAAAGTTCCTTGTTTTAGCCATACAATATGAGGAAGCAAAACTTTTTGTGTCGATAGTATCCTTTATTACAAAATCAGTAATTTATACAGGGTGTTTAGATAAACTTTCTCAAATAAAAGTCGAAGTTCTCAGTAAAATTTGAGCTGAGAATAAATTGTCTGAGACTATAAAAATCTTTTCAGGCCGTCGAACGAATTAAAGGATTCGGCCACCGCACCACTCAAGGGTACTATTTTACTATCTGGGTTTATGGGTGTTAGTTTATTTGGGATTGAATTCATCAAAATGGTTAAGCTTCACTTCTTACAAATGATCAGAAACTTGTTCAAGTTTTGTCCATACAAAGGCTTGATTATTTCGATTTTACATGGAATTTCGTTGACTGTTCTTGCCTAAACGTTATCTCTGCGATAGATTTGTTTTAATACGAAGTGCTTTAAAGCGTTTTTTGCGTCACCTTAGACCAATCCTATATATCACCACACGCTTGGCCTAAGCGACAAGTATAAAAGAAACAGTTGCAGCTGCTCTTAGAAGTCAAATGTTTTCATCCATTTTGGCGCCACTTCCAACATCAAAAATTGCAAATTGCGCTTCAAAAACATATTTTCCACCAAATGGTTTGAAACCACTCGGTCTCCAAGAATAAAGACCCGTGACTAGTTTTACGCGGCCATAAATACCAAATGTACTTCAAATGAAACCCATAAATCCGTATGTATTGCAATAAACAATTGAAAAACAACCTTATTACAGCTGTGAAAGTAGAAAAAACGTCATATATCAAAATCAATTAAAAGTCAGCAACCGTTTTTTGTAGAATGTCCGGTTACTCAATTAAATGCTTTTTATTTAAATCGAAAATTCACCGAGTGAAATTTGCAAGTTCCGGTTAAATCTAATTTGAGACTGGCGGAAATGCGTACAAAAAACATCAAAACAAATAAATTAATAGAATTATTTATGTTTTTGATGGGACTTATTATGTTTGTAGCTAGCAAGTACAATAATCTGAAACTGCCAACGAAAAGAGAGAAGGTTGAACAAGGCATGAACGAACTAGAAGTCACAAATTCGAAGGCATTCGAGAGCTTCAAACGGACAAATCACCATATGCCTCCCAACGGCTTCTCGTGAATTATAGAACTTCAATTTATTTGATGCTGTAGGTAAATTGATCCATCCACAAATGAAATCTAGAACTCGCTATGATAGCTCAAATTTGATTGATTTGAAAATGTATCTGGACGAAATAACTGCGTCAAAAACGAAAAATTAAAAACGACAACAGGATTTTTTTTTAATTTTTCAGAAAATGCGATGTGGATCAATTTGTATGTGTGGGTTTGTCGGTGCTTTCTTTTATAGTTAAACTGATTTATTAGAGAGAACTATATTTTTTTTCTGCCAAAACTTCAATACGATTATGCTTTAAGATTTCAACGCTGAGGTGAATTTCAATCTTTAAATCAATTATTTTATGTGCCTTGCGTGTTGAGCAAATCTTTTACACCCATGAAAAAAGGTTGTCTGCAAAATTGCTACTCTCATACGTCTTTAAAGTTGCTATGGTGGGGTGGATATTTGATCCATAAGTTTGATTACGCTTGCGATTAGCAAGCCTTATCAAATCGGAATAGACTTTTTTTCGGGTTAACAACTTGTTTAACAACATATTGATTTCAAATTTCTTAGAATGTACGGCATACTCAGTCTGGAGGTAACGATTATGCCTGGGACAGCAAAGGTCCGGGGATCGAATCTGAGCAGGACCTTTTTGTTCAAACACGAAATATTGCATTTCAAAAAAATTGTCGGCTGATTGTTTATCTGCTTATGTTTTGTAGCTTTCTTTCCTCCGGATCGTACAAAAAATTTAAAATCTCAGAATATATTTTTTAAATCAGAGCGTTTCATGACAACAGTTTTACTTTCGTTCGATAAATGTTTTTTAATTCTCATTCATTAAAGGCTATAGAATATGTTTCTTGACTTGATTTCCGCAAATAAAACATCATTCCAGACAACATTTTGAAACTTTTTAGTTGTGGTTTCTCCAATAATTTCACCATGGATTTTGCTTGTGCTTTAACAAACTTTAAAATCAAGTCCAAACGTTGTTCATTTTAATTTAGGTGAGAAGTTTAAAAACTTTATATTATTTTCATATAATCGTTTTTTTTTTCGGCTCAACTGGTGACTGCTCAAAAATTGTTGGTTTAGTTTTTACTGGTTTTGCTTGTGCTGTAAGAAACTTTCATTTCAGTTCCAAGTGCAAATGTTGTTTATTGTAGTTTCAGGTGGACTTAAAATTTCAAGGTTTCTGATAATCAAATTTTTCGTATCATATTGTGTCTGCTCAAGATTGTTAGCTTTATTGACTTTTTGTAAGTTTTATTCCGTTGCTAATTTGATTTTTAATTTTTGTTGCATTTCAAGTTGTTGAAAAGAGGCTGATCAAAAGAGAAGCTGATCAATGTAACAAAACTTATGTAATTTGTGGCAAAATCAATCTACAAAATTTCATAATAGGGCAATTTTCACCCTGCAAGCATGGTCTAATAGAAAACGATAAATGTTGCGTCTATCAGCACAGAACTTCTTTTTTTAGCCCACCTTATTTTAATGTGGAACAGTTTTCTCAGCTAGGTATCAGTTTTCTGTAGACTATGTTAAAGCTGTGTAAAATCTTTTTGAACAGTTACAATGTCGAAGTTTGCATGGAAAAAACCTCTTTTCGGAAGTCGTTACATTAAATACATTTGCGATAAGCAAGCGTTATCAAACTGGAATATAGACATTTTTGCGGGTTAACAACATGTTGAGCAAAATCACTTGACCTGCTAGACTTCATTCACGTGCACACGTGCAAATTTAAACTCTACCGGTCTACTGTTACTACTGACAGTTCTTTTAAAAAGTAATGTCTTAAGATTTTGACAAAATCTTCTTTTTCAATTTTTTTTCGGACTATCGTTAGTCGGAATTTGTTTTGTCGGCTTAGTTGCCGCATCACAAATTTTTGCCGCATCACGAATGAAAAAATTGTTTACATAAAAAAAATGATAGCTTGGCTTACATCAAAATCACAATTCTTTAACTTTTCAGGCACACATGATTTTTGAGAAAGATACTACGCCTGAGATGGTAAAGGCCCTGCCCTGTGTTCGAACCAGGCCAGAACTTTTTAATTTCAAAATAGAAATATTCTGTTTCAAACAATTGTCGACCTGTTTTGTGTCTGCTTATCTTTGGTCGGCTTAGTTGCCTTGTTACGGGTTTTTGCTGGGCTGTAAGTAAACTTTATTGTAACGGAAAGAGTTTGATTTGTTGCTGTAGTTAGTAAACTTACAAAGTTTGCAATTTTTTTCGCTTCTTTTTTGCTGTTTTGTTTGGCTTCAATTGTTTTTGCTTATATTTCATCAAGTAAGTGACTTAGTTAAGCGTTGTTTTGAAGGAAAATTAGGTTTTTCTGCTTTTGTGTGTTTCCGGAGGGAGGATCGTAAAGATTTAGATTTTCGGAACTTTCAAAAGTTTTTCAATTGAAACAATTTGCATCAACGGGAGCCTAACAAACTTTTGCCGGCTTAGCTGCCAATAAATTTTTGTGTCTGAAAACTTGTTAAGTGCTAGCTTTTGTGCTTTTAAATTGAACATCATTCCAGACAAATTTCTGAAAAATTTGAAGTTATGGTTCTTTCGAAATATTTTAATTGTTTTTCGACTTAGTGGCTTTTGTTTCATTTTCTGTCTGCTAGCTTGCAATTTTCTCTGTGTGTGCGGTATTGCAAGTGGTGCGAATTTCCACTTCGCCTGAGTGTTTAATAGTTGAAAATATTTGTTACTCGTTCCAATTTAGAAAATTTCCAAATTAGACAAAATTAGGTTGGGTTTATGTAAATTCATCATCGTAAAGAACAATAGCAAATCAAAGTTTTTTTGTTACGACTTTCAATGAAAGTGGAGGAATATTTATGCTCGGGATGGTATTTTCTCTGGACAAACTTCGACATTTTAAGTAGCCATGTTTGAGGAGTCAAATTTTAAAAAAAATTTTCACAGGTAACATTTTTTTGTAAATATACGGGGGCTTCAAATTCGACAATTTGGCCATATTGGGATGATTAACGGACGATTTATTTGTGCTACTAACGCGAAAGAGGAGATTTTCTCCGTCTTAGAAATCGTTTCAAAGTGAACTGAGGCATGCTCCTGCATATATGTAATATTTTGCTATAAGCTAAATGTATCACTTTGTACTTAATATTGCGTGTGGGGAATGATTTTTACATAAAAACCCCTAAAAAATTTTTTTCTTAAAAAAAACATTTTTTTTTTGAAATTTTCATCACTTTCAATAAATCGAACAATATATCATAGACCTTAAAGGGCAGTCAGAGGATTCTGGGCTTCAACCTGATAATACGAGCAGGCGTGTTTTCATTTCTGAACATTTTGTGAACAAATTACATACAGCACCAATTTATGCATCTTCTTTTGACAGCAGATTCTAAAATAAGGGGAAAAAATTCTCAATCTTTGACAATTGAAACGAGGTCTCTTCTCAACAACTAGAAAAAAAATTAAACCATTGTGAGTATTATCAAAATTTGATAGCTGTAAGGTGAAATTTGATAGCTTTCAGCTACTTTTCCTTAATACAGAAAAAAAATGACTTCAATTTTAATTGAAAACTGTACCTGGACGAAATCAATCTAATATTATGAAATTGTTTAAAAAAATTAAGTTATTCAGACTTGTGCAAAATAATAAATCTGACAAGAAAATTGAACATGTGCTTTCAATTGTTTATACACTTGCGAGAACAAGTGCCTTGTAATCAGGAGCTAGACATATTTTGCCGAAAACAATTTAAATCACAATATATCGAACTCGCTTATTTTATTGAACCGTACTCATGAACAACTGCCTTGTTGCATGGACGAAATGTAACGCGGTTGCCTGAGCACCCTAAATTCCACTGTCTGGGGTTCGAGTCCCGGCCGCAAACAGTATTCTTTCAGCAAATAAGTTGAAATTTTTTTCAGGTAAAAATTGAAGTGTCGGACTTTCTTTTGTCTGCTCCAATTTTGTCGGCTAAATTGCCACATGACAGGTGTTACTTGTACTTTAAGCAAGTTTCATTTTAGTTGTAAATAATCTTCATTGCAGTGTCAGGCGCGACGTAGTAAATGTTTTTTTTTTATATTATTGAAACTAAAAGTTTTCGGCTCATTTGGTGACTGATTAAAGACCATCAGCCTGGTTTCCACTGTATAACTTTTGTTTCGTGGCTAATCTTATATAATAAATGATAATCGGAATGCACAATGGACACAATGTTTAGCTGAGCGTAATGTTTTAGCTTTGTCGAAAGCAATGTTAAAAAAATTCTTAAGGCTTAACGTTTGAGAGAAAGCCAAGAATCTTCTCGAACTTTCAAATTATTTCAAGTCTGGAATATTCTAGAAGTTTTGTTGGAAAAAACTCAATTCTTTAGACAAGATGAACTCAATTCATTTTCAAGGCTGGGCAGTGCCTGTCCATTTTTTCCAAAATTGTGTCTTTTCAGATTGGTTTCATTCTGGAACAAACCAACTAAAAACAGCAACCTCTTGTGCTAGAGAAACTATATTTTTGCAATCCGATTTGCGCTATGAAATAATTTTAAATATTTCAAAGTTTCATTGATGGCATAACTTGCTTAGAAAAGCATAAATTGTTGCCAATCAATTTTCTCGGTGAAAACTTGCGATAATTCAAAATTTTTTTGACTCAATAGCTTGCTTAGAAAAATTCAAACTTCTCGCCAGTTGATTTTCTTTGATACAATTGACAAACTTCCAAATTTCATCGCATGAATAGTGTGCTCAGAAAAACTTCGAAATTTTCCAATCTATTTCATAGACCGTATCGTTTTAAGCAGAAATTTTCGCAAACCTTTTTAAGCAAACTTTTCGCAAACCGATTTAATTTTGAAGTACCTTGAAATATTTAAAAGTTTCAGAGCTTCAATAGCTCGCGTAGATAATTTTAAGCTCTTCGCTTTACGAATCGGTCTATAAAAAAAACATGACTTAAGATGAAATTTCGTAGCTTCAAAACTTGCTTAGAAAAACTTTTCGCGAACTGATTCGGTCTACAAAATAACTTGAATTTTTTTTGTATACCAAGTGATGCAAAGCTCCGCTTCGCCTTTGTGTATAAATTAAGCTTTACAAAAAAAGAAGAGCTTCGCTTCATTGCTTCAATAAACAACTGTA